TTATGGGGAAGTCATAAATATTGCGATACTTTTAATTTTAGCGCCCTCTATCGGGATAAAAAAATCTGTAACGTATTATAAAGTGTGACAATTCATTTAAAAGCTAATTTAATTACTGATTTATTGCACCACGTACCATTAATATAAATATTTCCATATTGAACTTTAAACAAAATAAAGTTAGCAATAATGTTTAAAATAATGCATGACTAATTTTTAAACTATTGCAAGTGCAATATGAAGGATATTTATATTATTGTTCTGTGGTACATTGAATTAGTAATTAAGTTTGCTTTCAAATAAGGTGTCACACTCTAAAATACGTAGTTTTTTATCCCGATAGAGGACGGTACAATTAAAAGTATCACAAGAACAGTCATATTTCTAAATTCCCCATAAAATTACCTTTTTAAATAAGGTGTCACACTCTATAATATATAGTAGTTTTTATCCCGCTAGAGGGCGATAAAATTTAACTAACGCAATGTACAGAAATATTTCTGAATCCCCCAGTAAATTACCTTTTCAATGATGTGCCATACATGATACATTATACAGTGCTTCTCAAAAGTCCACTCCCCCCCTCTTTTCTTTTGAACGGTGATACTTAGACTGATGAAATTTGTAGGGTGAAAATAAACTATTGTAAGCTTCTCTACTATTGGTAATAGGTGACGTAATAGGCATCGGTGACGTCACCAGACAACTGAAACCAATAGTATTAAATGGGACCTTATGGCAAGTGATACCTCGTTTAAAAGGTATTTAGAATACCTATTCAGTAGTACTATTTTTTTTGGATTTACGATGTTTTTGATGGTTAAAATAAATAAACATTAAAATTTGAGTTTCGCTTTTAATTAATACATATTTAAGAACAAGTTCTTATAATAATTGTTCAAAATATGCTTCATCTACTTCCTGATAGTAAAACATCCTATTATTAAATTCTTGTCGGACTCGATTAAATGTGTCAGGGGAAATTGCCCTACATTCTTTAACAATTCGCTGTTTTAAAACGTCAATACACTCAGGAGCTGTAGCGTAAATTTTAGATTTAAGATATCCCCACAGAAAAATCTAGAGGTGTTAGGTCCGGTGACCGAGCTAGCCATTCTATTGGACCGCGTCGTCCAATCCATCTACCAGGATATTCCTCATTTAAATAACGTCTTACTGCAAAGTAATAGTGTGAGGAGCACCATCTTGTTGGAACGTTATTTCCAAGTTACCAAATTCATCTGGATTATCTTCCAGAATTTGAAGAATTAATGCTTCAATTGCGTTTTCTAACATCTCAAGATATACCTCACCGGTTAAATTAGAGTTCAAAAAAAGAGGCCCGACTATGTGGTTTCCAGAAATACCTGCCCAGACATTTACTTTTAATGGGAACTGTGCATGTTTTTCACGAAACATGTGAGGATTTATGTCACTCCAATACCTCACATTTTGAGTATTAACATTTCCATTAAGGAAGAAAGTACTTTCGTCAACTAAAACAAATTGTCCTTACATAGTCTGGCTGTTGGAGAATTTTAGTGGACATATTTTAACAGAATTCCAGCCTTTGGTCAGGGTCGTCAAATGAAAGTTGATGCACCATTTTTAATTTGTATGGGTGAAATTTGTTTTTGGTCAACACCCTGTGTACTGTACTATGACTAACTCCAAAGGTGGACGCTACTTGGGCTGCGGAAGAAGTAGGGTTTACTACAATTTCTGCAACTATATCAATTTGTTTAATAATACCAATATTTGGTCGACCCGATCGTTTGGCATCATGAACACTACCTGTTTGTTGAAACTTATGAAAAAGCTTCCTCAAATAAGTCCTCGATATAGGGCGATCGGGGTATCTCTCATTAAAAATGCGTTCCGCCGCATGAAAATTATTTCCGCTTTCACCAATAATTAAGATTGCTGTTACTTTGTCAGCTAAAGCACGTACCATTTTGTTTATGTAGATACAATGTAGATAGAAACAATAATTAAACTCAAAATTCAAGATATTATCACCGGTAAAAACGTCTATTAAAAAATTTCTGCTTTTTTGACAATTAACCATAGGCGGACTTTTGAATATTTATTAATTAAAAGCGAAACTCAAATTTTAGTGTTTATTTGTTTTAACCATCAAAAATATCGTAAATCCAAAAAAATAGTATGATTGAATAGGTATTCTAAATGCCTTTCAAATGAGGTGTCACTTTCCATAAGGTCCCATTTAATATTATTGGTTTCAGTTGTCTGGTGACGTCACCGATGCCTATTACGTCACCTATTACCAATATTAGAGAAGCTTACAATAGTTCATTTTCACCCTCCAAATTTCATCAGTCTAAGTATCACCGTTCAAAAGAAAAGAGGGGGAGGGGACTTTTGAGCAGCACTGTATATTTAAAATTAAGGAGTAGAGAAGTGCAAGGGAGGGGGTTGACACATGACAGATGTCTGTATTGTAATAATGTTTTTAATTTGAATAAAAATTTCTTAAAATCCAATGATTAATGCTGAAAAACAGGACGAAACTTGTAATGAAGTCAATTTTCATTATTATTATTAATTAATTCCGGGTATTAATTTCGATTTTCAATTAATTTCATCTTCGTGGATATGCCTTGTATATCATCAGTTTTATCGCTATTCGAACCATCGTCGAGGTACTGTGCCTGCACGCGTTTTAATGGTGGGATTTTTTGATGTGGTAGGGCATGCGACGACTAAACGTGGTTCGAGATTGAAATAAAATTTTTAGTTCCTAATATACCGATTTATCGAACACACTTGTTTTTACACCGTCAAATCCAATACTCGATTAAACGCTAAATACCTACGATCCCGAAATTTATTTCACGCCGCGAGGTAAAGTTTGTTGATGGTTTTTTTTATATAATTTCTTTCGTGCCCGAGTCTTTAAGCCGTGCTATTTGAAACCGATTTAATTTGATTTATTCCGTGTTGGATTTTGGAATTTGTTTTGATTGAAAAATACTTTAATTTATTCTTGTTAGAATACACCGTTCTTTATAAATTTCATTTTAGTTTATTTAAAGTCTTGACCGTTAAACAATTAATTTTTTTTATTCAATCGTAGATATAGTCGTATAGTTAATTTTTCCTACTACTGGAAATCTCCGTAAATAAAAAAATAAATTTCATTTTAGTTTATTTAAAGTTTTCACCGTTAAACAATTTATTTTTTCATTCGATCGTAGATATAGTCGTATAATTAATTTTTCCTACTACTGGAAATTTCCGCGAATAACTAATAAATTTCATTTTAGTTTATTTGAAGACTTAACCGTTAATTAATTTATTTTTCATTTAATCATTAATATAGACTTATAGTTAATTTTTCCTACTACTGGAAATTTCCGTAAATAAATAATAAATTTCATTTTAGAAAAGCTCAAGCTGCCACACATAATTTGAAGAAAGGTACGAAATTACCAATCAAAAATTTATGGATTGGCGACACAAGCATATGTCCTTTATTTAATACAAGAAAATAAGTGGGCGTAGAAAAAGTATAGTCAATTATGCACTCGTGAAATTTACGCACTCGCCGCTGCGTGGCTTCGGGCGTAAACTTTTTCACTTCGTGAGTAATGGGTTACTTACAACTCTTGTTACGTAATATACTATTAGAGTAATGTTTATTTTGTCGAACTAAATAATTTTTCTTGCACGTGGCTTTGATCTGTCGCACTCTTTGATGCGCGTTACAAAAGAAGATTTTCTAAAAAGTTAACCAATATCTATATATGAGAAAAAACGAATGTGACATGAGATCAAGATGATTGTGCATTGTGGCACAATGAAAGACGAAAACGAGTCACTGCTTCAAAATTTGGAGACATTTGTAAAAAAAGGAAAGATCTTCTTTAAAAAATCTCATAAAACCTTTTATTTTTTGCTAAAGCCACCCAATATGACATGTACGATAAATTCAAAGCAAAATAAGATCTGGAAATTTATTTGCAAGAAAAAGTTTTTAAATGTGGACTTTTTTCATTCATTCCGAATTTGATTATGTTGCTGACTGTCCGGATGGAATTTAAAACAAAAAACAAAACTCTATGATAAAGTTAAAATGTCCATATGGAGCTAGAGTGCTGACTCTAGAAGAAGGAATTTACCGTAGAGAAAAATCTTTTTGGAAAAAGGACAATACCATTATGTAAGGAGAATCACAATCGGTATTTTCATATTCAATAATATTAAGATTCTGATTCGAATTAGAAGTTTCATTACACAGGGTTTTGTGCCAAAGCCAAGCCATATGTATTGATATTGTAAAACGCAGATGAATAACTATCACATCCATAGATATTGAAAATTCACATATGAATCTTTGTAAGGTAATTATTTGTAACTTTAATAACTTCATACGGTCAAAAACTTTAGCTACAATTTTATCGACTCTCAGTGTATCTTTCTCTTCGCCTTCAAACGTAACATAGCTCTGTTTCTCTCTATACGTGTCGGTTGATGCATCACATTATTGTTATGTTAAGATTCTTTTTATTACAAAACTTCTCGTTAAGTGCCAATGGACAATATGTCATATTGTTATTTGTTCTGACTAAATGTATGTCTTACATATTAAAGTACCCAATAAATTAGGAAGAAATATAGACATTTTTGCATTTTTTTTATATCTACATTCATCCTGTTGCAGCTAAATGCCTGAATATATTTGGGTAAGTTGTAAGTTTTCAATTAAAATTTTAATTACACATATTGTTGTTGCAAGAAGTAAAGACAAAAATGATATCAAAATATGACTTCTCAATCCTTGCATGGTCAACAGTTTCTTCAAAATATTTTATTAGCAAAGGATATGGGCAGCAGCATTAATTATGCCAAAATATTTAAGTTTAAGCTGACAGCCTCTCCGATGTCTCTAACAGTAAATGAGTATCTCGGCACCTCCACAAATAAGAGTTAATTGAGAAATAGTTTAAAGCAATATGACATTACTCACAAAGACTCACCTGCACTTACTGACTCTGGCAAAACTTGTCTCATTTTTGATGGGATGGCAATAGTTCAAGGTTTGGGAAAGTTCAAAAGTGGCATATCATTTAAAGAATATACTAATATATTTGTAAATATTATTTTTAGAAATAAATTTAATGTGGAATTTGATCGTTATAAAGAAAATTCTATCAAAAATACAATACGTCAAAACAGAGAATCTTCTTCTTCTTCAATTCAATTTTTATAGGCCTCAGCTGCCAGGGCTATTCGGCCTAGGGTATTGGAGTTTTCTGTATTAAAGGTGGATATTTTAAAGGATTTTTTTTTGTCACAGGATACACATCACATCATGTGACAATTTAGATTGTCAGATAGAAAAAAAATTGACACACTATTCTTGCTTCTAATTCACTAATCACATCAGACAATATTCACTTCTCGATGACAATTCTTGTTGAAGATTTTTACGGAGACATTCACACTTGGCTCCCGACACTGACACCGCCATTCCAATGTTGATACCACGGTCACAGTTTATAGCTTAAAAGAATCAGTTCGCTCACTCGGACCAATTGGATGTTCCAAAATAACATCCACTCCAGGGATACAATTTCAGGATGCGCAGAAGACTGCTGTTTGATTATAGGCGGTTGTCATATCATATATTAGGCATTCCAACGACCTGTCAAACAATAGGTGCCAGTGGGAAATTTTTGTATATTTAAGGGGGTAGCGACATAGTCTTGTAACTTGGACGCTATTTTTATTCGAAGTAGTACTCGCCAAGCCTGCCAATTTATGAAGAAATGTATAGGTGGGTTTTTTAAATATTATTTTTATTGTGTTTGACATAAAATATTTAAATGTAATCCATTATTCATGATTTTACGTAAAGTAGATAGAATACACCATATGTCGCCACCCTTAGATATACCAAACCTGCCCACTGGTAATTCATTTGTTTGGAATGCCTAATTGTATTAGGCATTCCAAACAAATGAACTGCCAGTGGGAAGATTTGATATATCCAAGGGTTGCGACATACGATGTATTCTGTTTACAATACGTAAAAAATCATGAGTAATGATTACATTTAAATATTTTATGTCAAACACAATAAAAATAAGATCAAATTTTTTCATAAATTGGCAGGCTTTGTGACTATTATTTCGAATAAAAAAAACTTTCAAGGTGCAAGACTATGTCTCTACCCCCTTAGATATACCAGACCTTCTCACTGACAGCTATTGTTTGACAGATCGTTGGAATGCTTAATTGGTAATAGTAAGAGAGCCCACTGCAAATTACGATCGCCATCTGATAACAAAATGAAATATGCTCCAAAGACATGTAACAACATTGTACTTTACCAAATTGCACCTGTTCCAATCTGTAATCCAGAGCAAAGTGGTTAAAAAAAATTATTTTATATTCAAAAAATTACATAAGAGATGACAGCAATAATTGTGTTTTCTCTGAAAATTACAATCCTAATTCATTGTAAACCTAGCTTTTAAACCTGAATTATTAATATTTTTACCTAATTTTGGCAGAGATAGTCAATAATAATTATGAACTCTTGTTAGACAATTCTTTTAAACCATAATCATATTAGTTGTTTTTGTCGTTTCTATGACAACCTGTAAAAATGAATCACTACAATAGGCATACAAATAAATTCTTAAATCAGCAAAAATTGATTCATATTTTTAATAATTTTTACCTACTAATCGTGTGTAGATGTTTTTGTGCGATGTTAAGAGGAAGAAAATGTTTTCCGTTAACGATATATATCAAGATATATTTGAATATGTTATTATCTGGATAACTTTAAGGGCAAACAAAATTAGCGCTGTCATGCCTTATGTGATTTTTTTAATATAATTTTTTTTTTTATTTCTTTGCTTAGGATTGGGATTATCACAGGTGCCATTCGGTAAAGTACAATGTTTTTACAAGGTTTTGGGGTATATTGTATTTCATTATCAGATGGCGGTAAAAATTTACAGTGGGCTCTTGGGCTATTATGATTTGATTCTGTATGCGCCAGGGATACAAATCCTAGTTTCGCAATGTATAAACTGGAACATTGAGATCAAAAGTGCCGACGCAGAGTAAGCGAACTGATTCTTTAGCTATAAACTGTGCCACGGTGTCAGAATCGGAAGTGAAAAAAAATAAACAGAGAATCCCAGAAATCAATTGACATAGAAATTGACAGATCCAATATTCCACTTCAGGAACAATGGAACTTGTTCATTCATTCGATATTTAACAAAAGACGTTTAACAAATTTTCTGTCAGAGCAACTTCTTGAAAATTCCATTCAGCAAAAGCATATTCAGTTTGTAACTAGTAGTGGATTTGCGAATATCAATAAATATGGGAAGAATTAACCATCAAAAGACGATTTTTTAAATTCAAATCACGAAGATGCTGTTACCATGGGCGTCGTTTGGGGGGGGGGGGGGGGGGGAAGGGGGGGCAGTTGCCTTTAGCTTTTAGCGACTTAATCAACAACGCGTAAGATTATGCATACGAACAACAATCTCATATAGAAATAATAATATTAAGGCTAATATAGTTGAATAATATTATAGGTTTAATATATTTATTGAATATCATCGGTCTAATATGCAAATGGCCTAACTCTTAAAATATAAATTTTACAGGAAACGCAAAAAATCCTTTAGACCTAACCTTAATGTAAAGGGGTTATACCTACAAAATGAGCCATGTAATTTTTGGCGCGAATATTTAAAATAGGCTTGGCAGGCCATTTCGAATCGACAGTACAGATCTTTAACTAACGGATAGCCAAAAAATGTACCTTTGGTAAAAAGTGGAGTTAGGCCATTTGCATCTTAGGCCGACGATATCTGGATTCCCTTATTACGTCGCTTACATCACGCTTTTCCGAAGGCTCTGTTAATTTTCCTTAAGCCTGTTACATCCCAAAAGCATAAAAACAATACTTTTTTCACTACCGATTAGAAAATGAAAGTAGTGGAAAAATTTGGAATCGACAATTTTGAAGCTGAATACCAAACTGAAGTACGAAAGGGCTTTCTACACACAATGAGATTTTCATTAATGATATAGCATCCAAACATTGTGAATTTTATCCAGACATAAAAAGTGGTTTAAAAAATATTTATGGCTCTTCCACCAACGACAGAGTTAATCGAAAGAACGTTTAGCACGCTAAGGCATGTTAAAACATGGCTGCGATCTATTCGATCAGTGCGAAGTCATGGTAGGGAAAGCAAAAGCAATACTGGCGCAAGCTGCGGATAATTCGAGTACTTTAGGGCGATATTTTGTAATTTTGGCGTATCAAATACATGTATACATTTTACTTTTTACTAAAAAATAGGTTAAAAACAATAAAATGAACAACCGGAGTTACTATGTTGCAAATTATACTAGCAAAAAAACTGTAAATTATATAAATTTTCAGTAGCAAAATCAAAATTAAATCAAAAAAATAAATAGACAGCTGTATAATAAGAAGAAAAAATTATTATTTTATGATATTCTTCAACATCCCTTAAGTTTTAAATGTTTATCAAATGATTAGATTTCTGCCTTTAATTATTGTATATGGCTGAAATGCAATCTTATGACTTATTGATAGGAAACCAGTTTTAATCATTAATTTCTATGGGTTCTTTCGAATTAAAAATGAAGACAATATAAATTACAATCGCAAATATACCAATTATTTTTGTTAATACATTTTTATTCTACATTATTATATAATAGTAGTATTTTTATTTTGACATAATTTAACCTATTCTTCAATGACAACTTATTAGGCTTAGGTAAGATCTCATACATTTTCTCTTAAATACCTACCTATGTTTTATTATTGATTTTTATTGATTATACTACTTTTTTTAGCTGAAGTAATAAAAATATATAATAATATTAATATTAATTTTTTCACTTGTTTTATAAATCCATATACTTTTATTTTGTCTTTTTTGTTGGATTGTTTTATTTATTAGAGACTTGTTATGACAACTTAAGCACAGTTTATTGCTAAAGAATCAGTTAGCTCACTTGGACCAGTTGAATGTTCCAAAATAACATCCACTCCAGGGATACAAATTTAGGATGCGCAGAAGACTGCTGTTTGAATATAGTAGACGGTTGTCATACATTGTATTGGTTATGATTTGATTCTGTATGCGCCAGGGATACAAATCCGAGTTGCGCAGCGTATAAACTGGAACATTGAGATCAAAAGTGCCGACGCAGAGTGAGCGAACTGATTCTTTAGCTATAAACTGTGACTTAAGTATCAATTCTGTCAAATAGGTCAGTGACATTGTTAGGGTTACTACTACAGTTCCACTCCCCCTTAGCTTCGCTATTCAGTGAGATATTGGATTAATTTTGTTCTGTTTGAAAGAATTTCTTATGATGGATTCAATTGTTCTGTGACGTCATGGCTTACTTCCGATTTTTCCGAAAATAACAGATTTTTTTTTATTTTTAGAAGGAAAGCCTTTTTTATTGCAAATTTAAATTTCTGGGACATTTTTCTATAACAATCGTGTATTGACAATTTTCTGTCAGCTGTCAAAATGGCCGCTATATTGGATAATATTTTTTCTAAATATGTTACTATTCATTCGTTTATGGAAAAACATATAGGAATGTACGAACTTTATAAAATCTTTTTAGGTTTCAAAATTCCCATTGAGACCCATTTACCGTATACAAGTAGCGTATCTAAGCATTTTATTATTAGCAAACCGTTTAATAATTCTATCCTCTTTTACTTCGTTGTTAATTGAGATACTGGAATGAAAACTTATTTGTTTAAAAGCTTGGGACAAATACTCTCATATACTGGATTCAATTGGCTTACTTCTGTTTCATCAGAAATAACAAAATCTCAATTTATTTTTAATTTTTAAATAAAAACCCCCGTTTTTATTGAACATTTGAATTTTAGGGACATTTATGGATAAGAATCATGTGTTAAAATTTTTTTGTCAGCTGTCAAAATGATCATCATATTTTTTAATATGTTACTGAGAAAATTTTCAATACACGCTTCTTATAAAAAAATGTCCCAGAAATTCAAATTTTCAATAAGAAAAAGGGTTTTCATTTAAAAATAAAAAATAAATTGCGATTTTCTGTTATTTCTGGAAAAACCAGAAGTAAGATATGACGTCA